CTCAAAGTTCTGAGATTAGAGGTGTGAGCCACTGTACCTTGCTCGTAAAACCTGAAATTTTAGCTGAGGTCACCATCATCTCTTGCTTGGATTCCTCCAACAGCTTCCCTACTCTGCCTCCAGTTTTGACCTCTCTTTAATCCATTTCCCACTTCAGCTGAAGGGATTTTTCTAAAATGCATACCTTCTTTAAAAAACATTTTTATTCTCTCCCTTTCCCTCAGGATAAATAATGGAGTACAAACTTCTCAACAGGGTTTAGTAGGCCCTACATGATTTAACCCTGCCTACCACTCTGGTTCTTCACTCTCTCCAAATTCTAGGCATTTGCTATACTAAATATTTAAATTATACAATCACCACTGTCTCTTTGCCTGCAGGCCTTGGCACTTGCCACTATTTCCTCCTGGCCCACCCTTCTCCACTTTCCAGACCTGGCTAATTATCCCTGGTACCAATTATATTGGGACTCCTATGTCTTATTCACTGTTGTACTCTCAGTGCCCACCATGGTGCCTGGTATATGGTGGTGGTTAATGTTATTTTGGATGGTCAGAATGATATTCTTGTTTTAAATGATGGTACTTATCCCTTTTGTTTTGGCAGGTTTTTGTGTTTGATGTTGGACAGAAAACTTGGAAATCTTATGATTGGTCACAGGTTACTACTGTGGCAGTTTTTGGAAAATATGACTCAGAACTTATGTGCTATGCTCATTCAAGAGGAGCCAGAGTAGTACTTAAAGGTATGTTTTTACCAGGTCTATGAGTCCAGCAAATTAGTAAATTTATCTGTATTACTTGCTATAGTCCTGACTTTCCAAAAACTTCCCTTTTTATGTTTATCTGTTTTGTTAGTATCCTAAATACTGTATAATTCATTTCATAAATAGATATTTTTAAAAATTAAATAAACCACTGTATGGTTTTGAACAAAATGTGACTACCTAATTAGCAAGATGACCTTTACTTAGACATAGTCCACAATTTCTGCTTCTGACTTGAGAATCATTTTACTAATTATTCATAATGATTATTTTGGAGATCAGTAAGTAATGGCTTTTCTATTATTTTGGTATATTCTTTCTCCATTTGGAAAGCTTAAGTTAGGGTTGTAGTCTTCCAAAATAATGAAATGTTTTAGACATTTTGATCTCTCTGGAATAGGTTTGTGAAGTAAATGTCATTAAACTGTGAAAAGAATATATGTAAAAAAGATGTATACTTCTTCCATAGGGGATGTATCCCTAAAGGATATCATTGATCCTACTTTCAGAGCATCCTGGATAGCTCAAAAACTTGATTTAGCCAAAGCACAATATATGGATGGAATTAATATAGATATAGAGCAAGAAGTAAATTGTTCATCACCTGAATATGATGCATTAACTGCTTTAGTCAAAGAAACCACAGACTCTTTCCATCGTGAAATTGAGGGATCACAGGTAAAAATTCATTTATTTTTTTTTGGAAACCCCGTATTTTCCCTATCAAAATGTATTCATGAGGGTATGACTAATACAATTTTAGTTTTATGGTAATGGAATGGGAAAGAATTTGAGCACATACTTCCTAAAAACATTTTCTGGAACTTTTGATGTTCTCATCTAAGGAATTTTAAGGGACTAACTTTGTTCTCTATTCACATCAAAATACAACGTTGGGATTGCTCCCACCTACTTGCCTTGTAGCAGAGTTACACGTATTAGATAGGCAGTGGGAGCAGCAAGAGTACAGGAGGGCCTAATTGGCTTTCTCCAGAGCAGGACAGAAACAGCTTTGGCCAAGGGTAGAAATAGTTCTGGGGAAGTATCTCACTTCCTCCATAGTCTCTGAATTACTTTCAAAGTACCCAAGACCTATAAGGCTCAAAGGACTAACTCCACAGAACTTGTCAGAGCTATGACAATAGGCAGAGTGCTTTCCCACTGCCATAATGAGCATGATTAGAGCAGAAGATCACAGGACCAGGAATCTTGCCAGGCAATTTATTGGTAGAAAAGGATGTTGTGGCCCTAGATCAGTGATTCTTTTTTTTTTTTTTTTTTTTTTTTTTTGAGACAGAGTCTCGCTTTGTTGCCCAGGCTAGAGTGAGTGCCATGGCGTCAGCCTAGCTCACAGCAACCTCAAACTCCTGGGCTCGAGTGATCCTTCTGCCTCAGCCTCCCGGGTAGCTGGGACTACAGGCATGCGCCACCATGCCCGGCTAATTTTTTATATATATATCAGTTGGCCAATTAATTTCTTTCTATTTATAGTAGAGACGGGGTCTCGCTCTTGCTCAGGCTGGTTTTGAACTCCTGACCTTGAGCAATCCGCCCGCCTCGGCCTCCCAAGAGCTAGGATTACAGGCGTGAGCCACAGCGCCCGGCCTGATCAGTGATTCTTAAACCTGGCCACATATCAAGATAACCAGGGATATTAAAAAAATGTAAATACATGCTGTCTCTCAGATGCTGACACACACATGCACACTGGGACTCACTCCTAGAAATTATTATTCAGAAAGTTTTGGGTAAGCCCAGAGTTCATAATTTAAAAAAAATTTCATAGGTGATTATGGTTAGGAACTACTAGGCTAGACAATGAGTTTTTTTAAGGCAGAGAATAGCTACTTGATGCCTAACACAATGTTTAAAAATTGTTCATTGAGTAAATGGTGATAGCTCTACCTTTAGAGCATTCTAAGTACTATGAACTTGTGATTTCTAAACCTGTCTCAGAATCACCTGGGAGTGCTTTTTAAAAATATTCCAAGACTAGGCCGGGCGTGGTGGCTCACGCCTGTAATCCTAGCACTCTGGGAGGCCGAGGCGGGTGGATTGCTCAAGGTCGGGAGTTCGAAACCAGCCTGAGCGAGACCCCGTCTCTACTAAAAATAGAAAGAAATTAATTGACCAACTAAAAGTATATATACAAAAAATTAGCCGGGCATGGTGGTGCGTGCCTGTAGTCCCAGCTACTCGGGAGGCTGAGGCAGGAGGATCGCTTGAGCCCAGGAGTTTGAGGTTGCTGTGAGCTAGGCTGACGCCACGGCACTCACTCTAGCCTGGGCAACAAGCGAGACTCTGTCTCAAAAAAAAAAAAAAAAATATTCCAAGACTGATTTAGTAGGTCTTGGAATAGAGCCTAGGGAATTGCATTTTTACAAAGTGTTCTAGGTGATTCTGGTACAGTTGGTCATCATAAATTTGAGAATCACTGGTAAAATAATAAGTGATGTGAAGACTGACATCTCTGTGGTTTTATTCAGGTAGGGAAGGTCAGTGTTGAATCAACTTTTCAGATGAATACAATGTAGATCAAGAATAGCAAATACCAGGTATGCAGGACGTCATACCCCTCTCCTCCTCACAAATTTTGGTCTCAGGAACTTTTTCTTCATTCTTTAGATAGTTGTTACTAGTAGGTTAGGATTGATGTATAGAATACACCCTAATTGCCAGTCCTGATTAAGCTACAGTGAAAGGGCAGGGAGGAAGAGATTGAGCAAAGACCTTGCAGTAGGAGTATCTATTTCCAGCTTCAAGAGATGAGTAAAACAATTTGGGTTACTATGTCAAGTTCATGTTAGATGAATTAGTGAGAGAGGTACAGTTGCAAAGGCAGGCTAGATTGTGGAAGATCCAGAGTGTCAGACTGAGGAGTATGTGTTTTATTCTGCATGTAATGGCCTTACGTGTGTAGAATAGTGTTTTGGGAGAGTATTCTGCAGCAGTATGTAAAACTAGAGGAGAAAGGAAGACTAGTAATGACTAACTCAGCAATCTAGTAACTACAGACTTATAGTTTGGATTGGGATGATGGTATAACCCTAACAGCAAGTGGTCAGTAAATATTTGTTAAATGAATTAGTTAATGGAAAGGAAGGGGCAGAACAACTGTGAGAAGATACCCAAAGGAAGATGTGAGATTAAATTTGGGGTGTGAAAGAGAAAGAGAGTCAGAAAATGGCCCAAATGTTCTTAAATTGGTAACCAGCAAAAATGACTAATGTAGAGCATATGGAGGGAGAAATGAGTTTTGGGGATAAGATGACATTAATTTACAGAATTGTGGCCATAGAATTAAAAAAGTAGAAATAAATGCCCTTGAAGAGTTTTTTCTACACCTTCATTTTTTTTTTTTTTGAGACAGAGTCTCGCTTTGTTGTCCAGGCTAGAGTGAGTGCCGTGGCGTCAGCCTAGCTCACAGCAACCTCAAACTCCTGGGCTCAAGCGATCCTTCTGCCTCAGCCTCCCGAGTAGCTGGGACTACAGGCATGCGCCACCATGCCCGGCTAATTTTTTATATATATATCAGTTGGCCAATTAATTTCTTTCTATTTATAGTAGAGACGGGGTCTTGCTCTTGCTCAGGCTGGTTTTGAACTCCTGACCTTGAGCAATCCGCCCGCCTCGGCCTCCCAAGAGCTAGGATTACAGGCGTGAGCCACAGCGCCCGGCCTACACCTTCATTTTTATATGTAGGAAAACAAATTCAGATGCTTTAAGTCTGCAGTCCCCAACCCCTTGGGCCACTTCCTGGTACTGGTCCATGGCCTGTTAGGAACCAGGCCACCCAGCAGGAGGTGAGCAGTGAGCCAGCCAGTGAAGTTTCATCTGTATTTACAGTCACTCCTGCTCCCGGTCACTCCCATCACTGCCTGAGCTCTGCCCCCTGTCAGATCAGCAACAGCATTAGATTCTCATAGGAGTGCAAACCCTACTGTAAATTATGCATGCAAGGGATCTAGGTTGTGAGCTCCTTATGAGAATCTAATGCCTGATGATCTGAGGTGGAGCTGAGGTAGTGATGCTAGTGCTGGGGAGCAGCTGCAAAGTCACCCCAAAACCATCACGCCCTACCCCCATTGTCTTCATGAAACTGGTCCTGATGCCAAAAAGGCTGGGGACTGCTGCTTTAAGTGAATTAGCAATGACATAGATTAACAGAGCCAAGACTAGAACCGAAGTCTTTCAATTTCCCATTTAATATACTAATGCTAATTATGACAGGAAATCCAGGTGAAAATGCTTTTAATGTGAAGGAGAGGAGGTAAGGAGTTTACAAAATGGATTTGAAATTTATTTGTTTAGATGTAGTCATTTATTTTCTCTATTACTATAATATAGCTCCCATTTTGTAATAGGAGGCAGTGATAAAGTGGGGTCCAATATGTAAAAATTGCACTTCATAACCCATTTTGTTGGAGAGCTATTGAGGAAAGCTTGCACTTATAAAGCAGAGTGTCCTTTTATGTGAGTACTCAGAATTATAGAGATAACTTTGAGAAAGTCCTGAACAAGAGTTTTGCTAGAATAAATTGGCCAAAGTATAAAAACTTTATCTACAGTACCTCAATTTTTAAGTAATTAATAAGTGTTTATTGGGTGCCCAGTTAAGAAAAAAACCTTTAATGAAGTTTTAGAACATTTGTACACCTATAAAATAAGGCTAATACTTGGTTAAAGCAATAAACAGATAGAGACTCATCCCCTTGTTGAAGGCTGGCTCACCATTCAAATGAAAACTATTACTCAAGTTTTATTTGAATATTTCCATAAAATAAGATCACTTAAATGATTTTTTGACAAATTGAGTTGGTTAATCTATACTTGTGGGCTATAAAATAACATTATTCTCTAACTGCAATACTGGGCCAAACCTACCATGTAAATGTGAATGAGGGAGACAAACTCACAACCCAGTCAGGTTGTGGCAACAGGTGACATATTTAGGCTGCACAATATTTTTTACAACTTTTATATTTGAATTCTTTTTGTGCCTTTACTTGCTCAGGGGCACCACCGTACCCTATTGTTGTTATACTTCTTTCAGTCAGCCTAGCCTCTGAAGCCTTATGTGTTTAAAACCTGTCGTCTTCCATGTAGTGCCCTGTTCCTGGTCATTATATGTCCAAATATATGTCTGCAGTTGAATATAGGCAAAAATATATTTCTTAAAACTGTTCTAGTTGTATATGTGTTGAGCCCTACATTCATATACTGACTGTAAGGAGTTCTTTTTTCTTGGGTAATATGAGGCAAGAAAATAAATAATCAAAAAAATCTGACATAAATATGCATATTTGATTATGTTACATAAACTGATATGTTTTTCTTCACAGGTAACCTTTGATGTAGCTTGGTCTCCAAAGAACATAGACAGAAGGTGCTATAATTATACTGGAATTGCAGATGCTTGTGACTTCCTTTTTGTCATGTCTTATGATGAACAAAGTCAGGTCTGGTCAGAATGTATTGCAGCAGCCAATGCTCCCTATAATCAGACATTAACTGGTAAGAATCCATAAAATGATCATTTATTAATATTAATAATATTAATTCAAGAACTTCAAACATTAAGATATCTTTTATTAATAGTATTTCTGAGTTATGTGTATACCTTTTTTAATTTGTAAAGCTTGCTTGAAATATATAAAAATCACTTCATTTGGAGAGCATTTTATTAAAAAAAAGTTCATAAAAAGTTTTAAAGTTTTCACTTAATTTCTCTAACAACCTTGTGGGATAGGTATGTTTTTATTAACCCTCTATTAAAGATGAGATAAAAGACATTAAGTTTTCATGGTTGCCCAACTCTGAAGTATTATATAGTTCAGACTCAATCAAGTATTCTAATTTCAATTCCAGTATTCTTGACATGAAATCACATGAAGAAGATACTTGCTTATCTAGAATTTGACAGGATACTTTTGTTGAAATAACCAATGTTAAATAATGTAATAGCAAAGATAGTTAATAGTGTGGGTACCTACATTATATAGGATTGGTTTTTTATCTTATTTATTATTAGTACCTGTGATATATTAAAACTTGTATTTTTATCAGAATTTGATAACTTCTGACCTGTCATTCATGTGATGTGGTCTTTGCATTATCATCTCCAAAGTTTGGATTGATTTGTACCACATCAATCAACTGAATAAAAGATTGCTTGCTATCTTCTGGACTCAATCTGAAATTTTCTGAGATAGTTGGTACCAATTGAGTTGATTTATAAATAACATTTTTTTCTTTTACATGGAGGTTAAAATCTTATAACCTGGCCTTATTTAATCATGTCTAATTGGATAATCTGATCATAAACATGTATTAATACTATCTAAATTAGAAAATAACTGAATTTCATTCTGTTAAAATTACAAAGTAATTAGTTAATTCAGGGTTCCAAAACTGTGTTTCATGAAAGAATGACAATTGTGTTTTCTATCAATAAAAGGTCCATTATTAAATATGTTTGGGAAATGTGCATACTTCACCCCTCTTTTGGATATTTAATACTGCACAATAACATTAAAGGCTCTGAAAAGCAATAAACTTATTTAAATCAACATTCCAGATAATCTAAGAATATCTCTTGTTGGAAAAACATGTTTTGCAGCATTGGGTGGGAAAAGGACTGATAGTATCAAGAATTTGTTCATTTTTCTCTTTGTTTCCTCCAACTACAGATTATGTACAACAGAATGGTGGGAGGAGCATTTCTTATCCCCAGCTATCATTCATACATATAGAATATTTGTAAAACATGGAACACTTGTGATTTCTATAAGAAATTCTGAGACTACACTGTCAGAAAGTTTAAGATTTATAGAACTTTCTTGAAACTTTAGAATATCAACTATATCATGTCTTAGCAATTAATAGATATAAGTAGCTGCTTTCATGAAATGTGTCATTCCTCCTAGATAAAGATTTTGTGAATTTTTTGTTTCAGTAAGATCTTAGTTGTTTTGAATGTTTTCTCTTATTCAAAAACAAATGGTTTAGAAAGCAAGATATGGAAGTTAGTTATTAAGGGATGAGTTTTATAACAGAGAAACACTATTATTTTGCATAAACATACTTATTTTTACTAACTTAGACTCTTGAGTGGTTGCACAGTTTGTATGAACACATTAACAGATACATGAAGAGAAAAAAAATGCTTTTTCTGCCTCTATTTGACTAGGATATAATGACTACATCAAAATGGGCATTAATCCTAAGAAACTTATAATGGGTGTTCCCTGGTATGGTTATGATTATACATGCCTGAATCTATCTCAGGTAAGAACAGGTCATTTGTTATGTAATTTCTCTTCTGTATATAATTTTTAGAGCTTATTTTGTTTTCATTAGAAACATCTAAACTTTATTTAGAATTTCTGAAATATAGTTTGAGATTAAAAATTGTTATTTTAAATTATTTAATCCAATGAAAGTTTCTGATTATCATACATTTTTATTTAATAATGAGATTTTAACTTTTATTCATTATAATCAGGTTATCTATTTATAGCATATATTTCCAACAAATAGTTTTTGATTATTTTTCTGATTTGACTCTTAAGTGCTTAATTGATAATCTGTAACATGAACATTTCTGCATTTCTAGGATCATGTTTGTACTATTGCAAAAGTCCCTTTCCGGGGGGCTCCTTGTAGTGATGCTGCAGGACATCAGGTGCCCTATAAAAAGATCATGAAGCAAATGAATAGTTCTGTTTCTGGAAACCAATGGGATAAAGATCAACAGGCTCCTTACTATAATTATAAAGTAAGACTTTTTATAAGTTATGAACATTCATTCTATTATTTTCATAATTATATATTTTAATAATTAGGTATTAAGAATTTCTATCAGTTTTCTTATAAGGGCATAACATACACATTGCTATTTACATGAATAAACTTGTCTTTGAACCTGTGTAATCAGGAACTGTAGTTCCGTGGTGAGCAATTCAAGTTTTGCTATTAGTGCAACTGCTTTATTTACTTGGGCCAACTTGTCATTTTAGTGATGCCAAAAAACATGCATATCACAAACAGGGTTTCCTTAATAGTTGTCAGTTATGATAACTGTTGTTTTTCAAAGGGCTTTGGGCCAAAATAGGTTACCACCTCTGAAAGCCTCCATTTCAAAGTAGCCTGAAGATTCTGATAAGACTCTTACATAAGAAAGAATGAGGCTGAGAACAGGTGATGTGTCATCATCAACTTTACAATGGAAAAACTGTATCATTTCAAATTTATTCCATAATTTAAAAAAATTATAAGTAATTTAAAAAATTAGAGACATATTACATAAAGGAAACCTGAAGAAATACAATAAATGATTAGCAATCCTGTTATGTAGTGTTTAATAAATAGGAATTGCTATACCAAAGTGGCAAAGAAAAGTTATGTTTTTCATAATTTACTTTTAGCATACTAAAGCCTCTTTCACATCTCAAAAGTCTAAGTACAAACCATATTTGAATTTATTGTGGATTATGTTACTTTAAAAGGAATCCTAAAATGACATGATACAAGTTAATTCTAGCAAGGGTTTATATTCTTGACTATTATATCAGACCATTGTCTGATACCCATTTATAAAAAAATGACTGCAAACACACTATATGTAATAAATTGTAATTGATATACATCCATATGCCTCTATATCAATTATATAGAAAGGTTTATTTTTATTATTTATTTTTTTATTTTTTTTTTATTTGAGAGAACTCATAGGATTGATAGAAAGGTTTATTGTAGAGCTTTCTAAACTTTAGAATCAAAATTATGTATCTATTAGTGAAACTAGGATGTATTGTAATCTTGTCTTTCCTAAACGGTATTTAGGAATTCTCTGTCCTGGGAACTGTTAATATTTTGCACACCATTACCCATGTGTGCAAAATATTCACACATGTGCTATGGGCAAATATATTTAGAAAACACAATGTGTCATATGTCCCTCTTAGAGATTTATAATGTACAACATTATACTAAAGGACTTGAGAAGTGCTGCAATACTTAGAGCTATTTATTTAATAGAACCCTGTTTCACAGCACTCTTTTTTTTTTTTTTTTTTTTTTTTTGAGACAGAGTCTCACTTTGTTGCCCAGGCTAGAGTGAGTGCCGTGGCGTCAGCCTAGCTCACAGCAACCTCAAACTCCTGGGCTCAAGCGATCCTTCTGCCTCAGCCTCCCAAGTAGCTGGGACTACAGGCATGCACCACCACGCCCGGCTAATTTTTTTGTATATATATTAGTTGGCCAATTAATTTGTTTCTATTTATAGTAGAGACGGGGTCTCGCTCTTGCTCAGGTTGGTTTCGAACTCCTGAACTCAAAGGATCCGCCCGCCTCGGCCTCCCAGAGAGCTAGGATTACAGGCGTGAGCCACCGCGCCCGGCCCACAGCACTCTTAAATGTATTCAGGGGAACAGTGTTTCATGGATATAGTTTGGTAAAGGATATATATGGTAACCAATTATATATACAGGCATACATTGGAGATGTTGCAGGTTTGGTTTCAGAGTACTATGATAAAGCAAATATTGCAATAAAGCAAATTACACAAATTTTTTTGTTTCTCAGCACATATAAAACTTATATTTATACTATACTGTAGTCTGTTAAGTGTGCAATAGCATTTTGTGTCTAAAAAATGTACATACCGTAATTTAAAAATACTTTATTGCTAAAAAATACTATCATTGGAGCCTTCAGCAAGTCATAATCTATTTGCTGGTAGAGGGATTTGCCTTGATGTCGATGGTTGCTGACTGATTAAGATGGTGGTTGCTGAAGGCTGGGGTGACTGTGGCAATTTCTTAAAATAAGACAATAATGAAGTTTGCCGCACTGATTGAGTTTCCTTTTACAATACATTTCTCGGTAGCATGTGATGCTGTTTGATAACATTTTGCCCACAGTAGACCTTTTTTCAAAATTGGAGTCAATCCTCTCAAACCCTGCTGCTGCTTTATCAAGTACATTTATGGAATGTCCTAAACTCTTTGTTGTCATTTGAACAAGTGTTCACGGCATCTTTACCAGCAGTATATTCCATCTCAAGAAACTACTTTCTTTGCAACTCATTAATAAGAAGCAACTCTTCATCTATTCAAGATTTATCATGAGATTGCAGCAGTTCACTCACAGCTTCAGGCTTTACCTCTAATTCTAGTTCTCTTGTTATTTTCACCACTTCTGTGGTGACTTCCTCCAGGGAAATCTTGAACCCCTCAAAATCATTCATGAGGGTTGGAATCAATTTCTTCCAAACTCCTGTTAATGTTGATATTTTGACCTCCTCCCATGAATGATGAATATTCTTTTTTTATTTTTATTTATTTTTTAAATTTTAATCTATTTATATATATATTTTTTTTCTTAAAAAGCCTGATTTTTCTCTATGTCTTTAATTGATGAATATTCTTAATGGCATCTAGAATGGTGAATCTTTTCTAAGTTTTCAGTTTACTTTGCCCAGATTCATCAGAA